CTGCCTACCCGTATGTCTTCAAGATTTTTACCTGCTTTCTCTTCCAGTAGATTTAGTGTTTCTATTTTAAAATTTAGATCTGTGATCCATTTTGATTTGAGTTGGTGCATGGTGAAAGACATGGGTCTAGTTTTAGTTGTTGGTATGTGGTGAGCCAGTTTTTCCAGCACCATTCATTAAAGAGGCTATCTTTCTTCCAGTGAACAGGTTTGGCCCCTTTGTCAAAGATAAGGTGGCAGAGTGTGTTTGTGGTTGTGGCTGCATCTTCCAGTCTGTTCCATTGATCCTCACGTCTGTTTTTTTGCCAGTACTATGTTGATTTTATCACAGTAGCTTTGTAGTATAATTTCAAGTCAGAGATTATGATGCCACCTGACTTGTCTTGGTTGCCCAGGATTGCTTTAGCTATTCTGGATCTCTTCTGGTTCCAGATGAATTTAAGGAATGTTTTCTCTAGATCTGTGAGGTGTACAAATAGTACTTTAAATGGAATTGCATTGAATCTGTACAACAATTTTGGGAGTATGGCCATTTTCACTATACACACAAATATTAAGATCTCATGTAGAAAATGCTAGATTGCATACATACACAAAAATGCATAGAAGAAATAAATGAGCAAAGTAACAAGATACAAAGACAACACACAAAAATCAACTACATTCCTTAACATTGACAATGAACAATCTGTAAAGAAAATAACAAGAAATTCTATTTATAGTAATACTCAAAAGAATAAAATAGGGCTGGAGGGGCTGGGGATTTAGCTCAGCAGCACAGCACCTGTCTGTCAAGCACAAGGTCATGAGTTCTATTCCTGGTACCAGAAAAAAAAATCAAAATAAATAAAATAGGGCTGGGGATATAGCTCAGTGGCATAAGCACCTGCCTGGCAAGCACAAGGTCCTGAGTTCGATTCCTGGTACAAAAAAAATAAAACAGTAATTCACCTTAAGGAAATGAGTGATTTGTACAATACAAAGTACACAGTTAATTTGTGCAACAAAAACTATAAAACACTGCTGGAAGAAATTAAAGACAGAAATAAATGGAAATACATTCCATGTGCATGGACAAGAAGACTTAACATTGTTAAGGTGTGACTACTATGCAAAGGCCTCTACAGATTCAATGTAATGTCTATTTAAACCTCAGTAATACTTCTGAATAAATATAAAATCCTATCCTAAAATTTATACTAAATCCCTACAGAACAATAACAGTCAAGCAATTTGCTGACAAAGAATAACAAATTACTCATACTTCCAGATTTCAAAATATACAAACAGCTACTATATTCAAAAGTGTGATAATGGCATTAAAAGTCTCATACATCAAGAGAATAGAATGGACAGTCCAGAAATAAAATCTCACATATATTGTCAAATAACTTTTTGACAAGGGTATTGAGATCATTCAATGGGAAAAGGGCAGTCTTTTCAATAAATGGTACAGGAAATATGGATATCCACATGCAAAACAATGCAATTTGATCCTTTTCTTACACCATATATAAATTAACTCAGAATGGAGAAAAGAAAAAGCAAAAAGAAAATTATCTATCTATCTATCCATCCATCCATCCATCCATCCATCCACCTAAAAGATAGTTATACTACTAATTTCTCTTAGTTCACTGAAAAGAAAGGTTTTGTCGATATCTGGACAATTAAATCTGGTACCTTATATTCTGTGCTATGGTTTGTGTCTGCATATCCCCACAAAGCCTCATGCACTCATGAGTACGGGCTTCTAGAGTTATGATTGATCCATGTCCAATGCTGGGATTACAGGTGTGAGTGCTACACCCACCTTGGGGCGGGGAAGCCTGCATACAATGTAAGGGAGGGAAAAAGGCTTGCTCTTCCTGCTGCCACTCCTCCCTTCTGCTTTTATTGCGTTCTGCCACCATGAACTGTTGCCCTCTGCCACATGCCATTCTGTCTTGGAGCCAGCCAAGTATAAGTCTATGCTTATACTTGAAACCTCCACAAACTGTGAGGTAAACAAACCTTTCCTTCCTTAATGGTGGGTGTCAGATATTTTGTCTTAGCAACCAGAGAAAAGTAACCAAGACAGTCTGAGTAACTAACTTAAAGATAACAAAATGGAAAGTATTAACCATTATTGTCCTCCTATTGCCTTGCTTTGAATTTTTTTTTCTCTTTGAAATAAAAAAAAAAATTAACTCAAAATGGATCAAGAATTTAAAACTGTAAAAATCCTTAAAAGAAAATATTATGGGCAAATGCTTCTTGATGTGAGTTTGGTGATAATTTCTTAGATACAAAAGGCACATGCAACAGCAACAAATACACAAACAACTGCATGAAAATTAAGAACTTTTGAACATCAAAGAGTGTAACAGAGTAAAAAGGCAACTCACAGACACAACTAATATGCAAACCATGTATCTGACAGGAGTCAGTATCCAAATATATACAGAACTCTTAAAACACAACAAAAAAAAAATCCAATTCAAAAATGGGGAAGGCAATCTAATGGACAATTCTCTAGAGATCTACAAATGGCCAAAGCGCATGTAAAAAGATGCTTAACATCACTAATTATTAAAGGGAAACCAAGTGAAAACTATAAAATACCATCTCAAACCCATCAGGATAGCTACTAATCTAAAAATATCAGAAAATAGCAAGTGTTGATGAAGATATTGAGAAACTTCCTTAAAACGTTAAAAATAGAGTTACCACAGATCCAGCAATTCCGTTTCTGGGTATACCCAAAAGAAGTACAGCAAGGTCTCTAGGAGATATTTTCCCAACCAAGTTCATAGCAGCATTATTCACTACAGCTAAAATGTTTTTTTTTTCTGTTTTTTTTTTTTTTTTTTTGGTTTTTCTCCGGTACCGGGAACCGAACTCATGACCTTGCGCTTGCCAGGCAGGCGCTTTTGCCGCTGAGCTAAATCCCCAGCCCCTCTACTACAGCTAAAATGTGAAAGCAACTCAAGTGTGCATCAAGGCCTGAAGGGATAAGCAAACTATGGAATATTATTCAGCCATAAAAAGGAGCTCTTTACATGTTAAAAAAGGAATAAACCCCGAGGACATTATAGTACTAAGTAGAATACGCTAGTCACAAAAAGATGAAAACTGTATGATTCTAGTTATATGAGGTACTTAGAGTAGCTAAAACCATACAGACAGAAAGTAGAATGGTAGTTGCCAGGAGCTGAGGACAGAGAAAGACAGGGAATTACTATTTAATGAGTAGCTTCCGTTTTTTATAATGAAAAGAAATATGAGATAGATGATGGTGATGGCTGTCTAAAAATATTAAATACTTAGTAATACCAATGAACTGCATACTTTTAAATGGTCAAGACAGTCAATTTTATGTAATATGTATTTTACCATGAAAAGCAAAAGTAAAAATAGTACTTAAAAGTAGTACATAATTTTAAATTTATTCTAAGATAAATAAGTCATAATTTTATAATAATTCAAATCATGTTTTAAAAAGTCCTTAGCATCCTGAAATATCCCTATTTTAACTTTATTCACATGCTCATTTTGCCTCATTAACATTATTATAATTGGTTAGGTACAGTTTGTGCAGGTCAACAAAATTAGTGGAAATTGGTTAAGTGTTTGCAGAAAAAAGGGATAGAAGAATAATAATTTTAAGAATCAAAGAATTTAAAAATTTGTTTAATATATATATATGTGGCTCAAGCTCAAGGGACTATAGACACTGAGTTTTAATGGAAATAGTTTGAGGCAGATTCAACAAAATAAATTTATATTCTAATATTGTTTTTAAAAAAACCAAAGACTCTCTACATCCAAATTAAATTAAAAATAAGTATTAAAAATAGAAAAGTCAAAAGTAAAGCTCTGTAGCATATAATCCAAGAGCAAAAATATTTTTTGCTCATGTTAATAAAGGAAATTATTCTAAAAAATGTCATGCCAGGCACAGTGGTAAGTGCCTACAGTCACAGCTTCTCATGAGGCTGAGGCAGGAGGACTGCTTAAACTAGCAGTTTAAGATCAGCCTAGTCAACGTTGCAAAACCTGATTTTACATACAAGCCTTAAAGAAAAATTCCATTATATATGATCTAAGTTTGACAGGCAAAGTATAGAGCTATAAATAAAATTAGAGTTTATCCAGAGATCTGAGATAAAGCACTTGACTAAAAAACCTGCCAATTTATTGAAATCAGAGACCTAGGAGTGGCTACCCTGACTCTTGGCTTTTCTTCACAAAATGTCTTCTATTCTCCAAAATCAGCCAATTATTGGAAATCTGATCTGACACAGGATATGCCAAGATGTTATATCAGCTATAAAAAAATTGGATTCAAAATTCCCCTAACATTCTGGAAGAAAGATGCAGATGCATTCTCACTCTGCCAAACTCATGTTAGCTTTAAATTGACAGTAACATAGAACTTTGAAAAAAAAGATAATGTAATAAAAAGATACTAGAATAAATGTAACAGTTATGATACAACTCTAGAAGTGAGTACCTAAAATTGTGAACAGTAAGTTCAATTTAAATAAAATGACATATGCCTAATCAAGTATTCTGTATCACATTCAGTAACTACATAAAAAGATGCATGCTCAACAAAACCAGACATTTGGCATTAAATAAGCTTACAAAAAGAACACAAAGTCACACTCTCTGACTTGGAGAAATTTATGATTTGTTTCTAAACATGATTTAAATGAATCAAATGACGAGATCAGGTGCATTCAGGGTGGTACAGTTGTAGACAAAATGAATCAAATGAAAGAAAGGCAAACATAAAGCTAAATTAGAAATAAGTGCAGTACAAAACAACTATAAGAATTATAAATATATAATAAATGTATTCAAGAAACAACATCGTTGCTGGAGAGATAGCTCAGTGGCACAATGGCAGTTGTGAGTTCGACTCTTGGTACGCTCCCCCCCCAAAAAAAACAGTCAAAAATATACTCCGGGGTTAATTTGAAAAGGGATCTAACTCAGTGGGAATCCATGTCTTACCCTCCAGGGACTCTGTCTGGACGCCCACTGCTGACACAGCTGGCTCCATAGCCTGTGCAGTCACCACACACGGTGCACACCATGCACTGCTCCAGCTTCCACTTGTGCATGCCTGGAGGGCACATCATGGACTTCTCGTCTTTTTCATCTAGCTCTTCTTCTAGGTCTTCATCCATTGCTGTTGCCATATTTTCAACTCCAAACCCTATTTGACATATCAGTTTGTAATTTCAATTATTCACATGTTGAATATATGGTATTTACCAATTTAAAAAGTAATGACACAAGGATAACAAAAGTAATTATACCAAAAAATGGTAAAATATAAACAAAAATAAATTTTAATTTAGGGAATGCTAAAAAATGTTCTCCCATTTCCTTTCTGAAAAGAGATAGGAAAGACTACAGTCAAACACATCTCTTCATGGTCTATCATACTCTTAGTACCTCTTTTCCAACTTCACTACCAATACCCTTACTCAATAGACCAAAGGAATACCTCCTAAGCATATTGTATGTCAAGGGTCTCCACAACTTACAACTCACAAATCAACTTTCTAAAACACAGGGGAGGGGCTGGGGATTTAGCTCAGTGGCACAGCGCCTGCCTGGCAAGTGCAAGGTCGTGAGTTTGATTCCCGGTACCAGAAAAAACTGAAAACCAAAAAAAAAAAACAAAAAACCGTAAAACACAGGGGAACCTCAGTTCATGAATTTAATTGATTTTCCACAATTCTGGTCACAGAATCCATTCCACTGTATTCAAATATACAGTATACAATTTACAGACCTCCAAGAAACTTCCATGAACAAAATTTCTATGCAAGACATGGAGAGTCACAAATATGGTCACAGTTTTCTTCAACCTCATTTTTTCCATATAAATTATATTCCACTTGAACCTAAATTCCATCTCCTTTTCAAGACATCCTGTGTCCCTTCACATGCTTAGGGCCTGTGCTCATTTTCACTCCTTCTGCACCACTTCTCATTTACAAGATGCTTTTCCTTTCCTTGTCTACCAGAGAAATTCCTTTTATCTTTCAAAACCTCAGCTCAGAAGCCATTTCCAATGAAAGCACTTATTACCCTTTCCAGGGAATCAGTCACTACCTTCTCAAAGCTTGTTCATAGCTCAATTGGAACTTTAAAAAATTGTGTTACAGGGGCTGGGGATTTAGCTCAGTGGCACAGTGCCAGCCTGGCAAGCGCAAGGTCGTGAGTTTGATTCCTGGTACCGGAAGAAAAACAAAACAAAAAGAAATAAAAATTAAAAAATTGTGTTATAATTTATCCAACCATTATTTTATTCCTTTATGGAAAAGAATCAACAAACTTTTTATAATGGGCGGGACCGTAAATAATGTAAGTCTATGGTCACATTTTTTATAACCCTTTACAAGTGTGAAGTCCTTTTTCAGCTTGTATTACTGTTGAAAAAAATTGCTAGTGAGTAGATAAGATGTCAGGTTAGTTTGAAGACCTTTGTTTTTAAGTACTGAAGACTGTAATAATGAACGATTACAAAGTTTAAATCAAGTGAGAATGACACATATTAATCAAATAACCATATGAAAGGGTAAAACTACAACTGTGATAGGGTTATAAAGGAACACACAGCATTATAAGAGAGCAAATCTCTAGAAATCAAGTAATTATTTTGTTTTCCCTGCTAGATTTAGATCCTCAAAGGCAAGACTATGTATTACTCATTTGATCTCTCGTTCTCAATGAACTTCATCTTTTACACCTAACATAGAATTACCACTCAATAGAGGTATGTCTAATCAATTAGTAAATGCACAGCATATATATAGCCTCTTTTGACCTTGCCACTACAAACCAAAGAGCAGGCTGGGAATGAGATACATAAGCATCAGACAACTTTGTCTAGAGTTAGAGTAAAGGAATCCTGAAGGAAGCCTGAGTGACTCTACTTTTAATAGCCGCTAAAGTGTTTTGAGCACTTCCTTACACATTGCTATACATGCATTACTTTAATCATCTTAACAGTACTATAACTATTACATTCATATGAATCTACACTTCCTATGTAATGTCAATCACAATGGCAAATAAAGTGATTCTAATTCATATGTAAAATTAAAGCCCAATCTGGCCACATAAAGCAAAAATTCATAAAGAAAAATACTGAAAAACATTTCATAAGAAAATCCATTAACAATAAAAAACTGAAAATAAACTCATTCATCAACAGGAAAATAAACTGTAGCACATGTGTGGTAATGCTTTAGTACACAGCAGTTAACATAAACCATTTAGAAGCATACTAATACAATGGTGAGGCAAAAAAAAAATTGTAGAAAAAAACTGAATAACAGATTAATACTTATGAAGCACAAAATGTTACGTTTTTATGCATACCTATATAATAGGCTATGTATTCTACATAAAAATATAAAGAACAAGTACAAAATTATAAGAACATGGACTAAAAGCATATTTATCAAAGTTAGGAAAATGGCTAGTGCTAGACAAAAATGGAATATAACAACCCTTACAATGGAAATACAGAGCATCTGAATATTATGCGTAATTTTTTCCTAATGCAAACCTTTCACAAGATATAGTAGATACATATTTTTAAAATTTCAATATTGCTCTGTATTTTCCCTATTAAAAAAATCTAAAAACTCTCTATATATTCTCATTTTCCAACCTGTATTAATTTTATGTGCTTTACTTGGCCACATTCTATTTTTTTTTTTTTTTCTGTCTTTTTGAGATAGGGTCTCGCTATGCAGTTGAGGCTGGCCTTGAGCTCACTTTGTAGCCCAGGCTGGTCTCAAACTTGCAACGATCCTCTTGCCTCAGCTAGCTGCATTCTAATTCATAACTTAGAAAATAAATGGGATTCTACTAAAGAAAAAAATCTTGATTATTAAGGAATTTCCACTAAGAATCCAAAAAAAGATGAAAATTTATGCCAAGTTTCTGAACAATGAAGAAACAATTTTGTGTGGTTCAAGCCTTTTATAAATATTTAATTTTAAAATATAGTGTAGAAATACATATATGTACTTATAGAATATATACACTATATAAAATATATATAGCCTAAATATATATATATATAATGTATAGTATAGAAATATATGGTGTAGAACATTAAACTAATTCTCTTTTCTTTGTACTAGCAACACAATCCCAAACTGTGTTTCACCAGTTTAACAAAGTAAAATATTTCCATTGTAAAATAACATTTATTTTCTTTCTTTTGCTCGTTCTTTTTGAAAATCAATATACTCCAACAGACAGTCCTTATAAAAATGATGTTTTCTAAGTACACACACAAACACACTCACAAACATATAGCCAAAAGTTAAAAAAAAAGGTGTTTCTGAGATCCAAACGAGTCTGAAATCAAGCAGAAAATAAACTGTAAACATGAGAATAAACAAACAGGAAAATAAACTGTAGTGTAGGTGTAGTAATGCTTTAGTATGTAGCAGTATACTAAACAAACATGACTTTGTTAATTTAGTATAGTTTATTCCACAAAATATTGGTACTTGAAGCACAGCTCGATGCTAAGTTCTAGTAATATGTATGTACTGTCTTTTTTTCCAGCTCATACAAATTTAAAAATAGAAAGCTAGAAACTGGAGTGAAGGATACAGACAGGATGATAACAGCTAGAAATAACTGAAAGTAAGAATGAAGCAGGCACATTATTTCCAAAATAAACAAACAAACAAACCCATAACAACAAGGCAATCAAAAGATAAATCCCTCTTATTGCTTCAATAGCTGAGGGCAGAACAATGGACACTATGAAGGTGCACCTATAATTTAATCTTTTCTTGACAAAGGGTCAGATATTCATAAGAATCATTCTTAGATATAAAAACAGATTACAGTATAAGTAGGACGTGATATTAAGTAGAAGGATAATATTTGCCAGATAAACTGCTGCCAAAATAGCTGAAAGTGAAGACATGGTACAAAAGGATCTACCAGCAATAAAGAGTTTGAAAAATTAACTTTTCTGGAATAATTCAGTCATCAAAAAATGCTAAGTCAAAGAGGTACCATTATTGTATGTAGAATTTTACAAACTATAAAGGTAAGCTAGCTCAGAAACTAAAAATGTGAAATATATTTCGTTTTTCCAGGAATGTACAATTTAGCAATAAATATCAAATAAATGAGAGATCCAGGCATTTTCTTTATTCATAAGCAAAGAATCGAAGAGCCATTCATTTTGAAAAGACTAAGATTCTTTACAATGTCCCAAGAAACCAATAAAAAGACTACACAAATTTTAATATCCAAAAATTATACACCTACCTTTTCCTCCTTGGTTCATGGCACCAGTGTCTCGGCCACACTGTCCTTTATTATTTACACCAAATGTCCAAACTTCTCCATTCTTCATTAAAACACAAGTGTGAGCCTTGCCCATAGCTACCTGAGTTACAAAATGCCCCTTCAAATCAGTTACCAAACCTACAGGAAAGATACAAATTTGGTAAAAACAACAACTGTGAACCTAGTAACAGAACTACTTCAATGTAGATGTTTTAATTTCTTCAGTAAATAATTCATCAAAATAGTATGAAGTTGGTAGCTAACAGTGGCAGGATAACCCAAATTAAATTTTTAAATTTTGTAACACTGTTTCAATAAGTCTTAACATGTTACTCAGATTTGGGATAAATCTTTACAGTAACTATCTCAAGTTTTCTTCTGAATGCTTGCTCCAAAGAATACCAACTTTCAACAGTATTCACAAGGCTAGTAGGTCTCAAATTTTTTGGCACAGACATAAAGAAGCCCATAAATCATTACTACTTTAACCTGCCTCCACAAAACCAAAGTAAAACAACTCAAACAGTATCATGCAATGATATTTTTGTAGAAACGTAAGATTTTCAAAAGCAGTAGTTTTTTTCAATCTATAATGCTTTCCTGTGTGAGCTACTATACAGCTATTTTTCTAAACTTCCTTACTCACATATTACTTTCACAATGCTTGTCACACCCAAGTTCCACCCATATTATTTAATATTTTTGCATCAACTTTAAATTTGCAGAAGCATGTTTAACCTTATCAAATAGCAACAGTAAAAATCAAAGATTATTAAATATTTTTCTACAAGTAGTATATGATATTAAGTACAAGGATAATATTAAATACAAGTATAATATCAATAATCATTAGAATAAAAACTTTTATTAAAGTTCTTGCTTATAATTGCAAATAATATCACTCCTCCATCTACACAGGGAAAACTATTCTACATTATTAGCACCAATATCACTCCCTTAAGGTGGCTTTCCCTTATACTTGCTTAGGCCTTTCTGTTAAGTGTACCTTAAAATTTTTTAGCTCACTTGAGAAACAACATATTTAACAGAAGTATTTCTTATTAACAGTACTACATACCTTGAGGTTTTACTTCTTCAAGGCTCTATGCAAAGCATCTCGAAAGCACTACCTATGGTAATCCTTATGTAACAATTACAGGAAGTAGGTACTATTCTAGACCCTTTAAAGGGAGTAAAAAAGAAAGCTCTAAAACAAATGTGTCCAACTCCATTCTATGGTGGCATGGGGCACAAAACAGCTAGTAATGTGGTCTTGCTAGATTGTAAACTTTTAAATTACATAGTTTTTTTTTTTTTCTAATTGGATTTCACAGTGCTCAAGCACAGACTTGCCTAGGTGACAAGGCAATGCTTTCTAGGGGAGGGCACAGGGCAGTGTTAACTCTATCTCCTGTACCCACCACACACAGCTGAATAGAAACCCACATGCACGTGTATCATATGTTTCATGTGCTTCTGCAACTTGCTGAGTAAAATGTAGTGATTACTAATCATAGTACCTATATTTCAATCTGCCTAAATTTTCATACTAAATTATTAAGCTTGCGCTTATTGTATTATTTCATTTTAATGTTGTAATAAAAATAACAAAAGCATTAACCAATTGTATCTTTTACATACAGCTCAGGACAATTCCTCTTTACTCAATGCAGCCTGGGCAAGCCTAACGGCTAGATGCCGATACTCTAAAAGCTTAAATGAACTGTTCGACAACTGAAAAGCATTGGCAGTAACATCTGGGTCAGTGTCTATAACCACAATACCATACCTCTGGACTATTCAAATTCTACCACATGCAGCAGTCTCCCAAATACTCAAGAAGACAGGGAAAGACTATATACCTAACTTGGTTCCTCCTTACACACTGTATAAAAAATTGTAAAATAAATTTTATTTTACACTTATATATTATCAATAGTGAAGAATATATGCTGAATAAATGCATAAATTTCAACCCTAGCCAAGAGAATTTTAGCAAGCAACACATACTGAGCATTATTTTTAAACTATATATGCATTACCCCCAAAGCTTCATTCATTTTGATAGTTTTAGCCAATTGAGAATTCAAACAGTACCACCATAAGTTAGCACACATTATGACCTGGGTACAGCTTAACTTAATAATTGATATAATAATGTGTGTCATTTATTCTGCATGAGACAATCACTTAAACTTGCAATCAGACCATTAAATTTCGTTTTCCTTTTCACAACAAAATTCAAAGGCATTATAAATTTATCTCACATAAAATCTTCCCACATGGCATGATTTATTTATCATACCCATTTCTAATAGCTAGAAAGAAAATTTAGAAACCGAATAGGAATTTTTGAGGCTAGAGTTTATTTAGTTCTATATCTCATTTTCAATCCTGAAATTTTCGGTTTGTCAGTCAACCAATCACTTGACAAGTAATTCTTGAAAAGCTACCATGTGCCAGACCTATGCCAGGCATTTGGGGATATAATATAATAGTAGGAGAGAGATAATCCCATTCTAATAACCCATTGGGGGAGATAAATAATTCAACAATTATAAATCAACATTGTTATAAAAATCATTTCCCAAGTGATACCATCACTATTACTCTAGGGACATGCCACATGAATACCAGAGCAAGGAAAAGGTTTCCAGAGAAAGCCACCAAGTTCCATTATTAATTGTACATAAAGGTTGGGATGTAATTCCCTGTGACAAGATATGAAGAAAAATTTGTTCCTGAATGTTTCACATGCAATAAAATGTGAAAAATGCAAAGAAAGCACACCATAAATATTAGTTTCTAGGCACATCTTTGTAACACCTAATGATTAGTACTGGACCTTCTTTCAATAAAAATGAAATGCTGTTTATGTTTTTTAAACTTACTTGAACTATCAGAGTAAATGGCATCTTTTCCAAACATGTATAGTTCTCCATCTTTAGATATAACAGAACTACTTCCATTATTGCAGGCTGTATACACCACAATCTTCCCTTCCATTTTAATTATCTTTTTAGGCTTATATGGTTTTGACTGCCGTCTGCTTTTTGCTTAAAAAAAAAATTAAGAGTACATTAAAGGCACCTCTATATAACAGACAGTAATAACAGTTTCTATATAAAGTCCAAGGGAAATGGGGGTACACCTCAGTGGTAGAGCATTAGACTGCAAAGGAAAAACAGCACAGTATTTGTACTTATGGTACATTTTATTCATTTATTTTTCACAAAGTCCTGGGATTTTCAACATGTCAGTTAAAATAACTTGCAGGTCTCACCTGGTCAATTAATATTTAAGCTCTCATTGTCAATTTTTGCTTCTCTGCAGCACATAAAAATATCTAATAGTAAATTTGTAGAGAGTAAATAGTGAAGTTCTACCAAAATCTCAGGCACAATCTGTGGATTACCTTTTTACATCATAAACTCATTTCTTCCTCCTCTCTTCTCTCTTCTCTCTCTCTCTCTCTCTCTCTCTCTCTCTCTCTCTCTCTCTCTCTCTCTCTCTTCTTTCTCTTTCTCTTTCCCTCTCTCTTTCCCTCTCTCCCTCTTCCTCCCTCCCTCCCTCCTTCTCTGTCTCTCTTTCTGATATTTTCCTGCCTTCCTATATCCTGTATCAGATATAATTATCTTGGACAGGCAGGCAGAGATATCTTCCTTTTCTCTGAGGCTATGATTCACACTTGTTTTTTTTGCTACATCCTAGAAAGGAAAATAAGTTTTTCATTCATTCCACATATATTTATTATACAAATCTACCATGTCAATGAGATATTAAAAGAAAGGAGATGTACATATAAGAGCAGAATCAGTAAATTTGAAGGTGGATGATTTCAGGAGCTTCTACTCTCTAAAACTAGATCCTTGAAATAAGTAAGAGATGGAAAAATCAATAACTAATCCTTTGATCAACTCATTTCCTGGTCACCTTGGAGAATATAAACATATTCCTATACTAGAGCAATTTTAATAGAACACAATCTATACACATATATAGAGTAATTACCTGGTAGCTCAAGCCAAGATAAACAGTATTCGACAAATATTAGAAGGAAAAATGAGCTGTGCAGAAGCTTTTGAAAAATGCAATATACTTCATGTCTATTTTGAGGAATATTTACATTATGTGCTGACTTCAACACCTTGTAAGATGCTACTCCAATGTGGTACAATGGAAAAAGTACATGAGAAGTTATAGAAAGAGCCAAATGATACTTTGAGCAAGACTCTGAGCAGAACAAAAAATATAAGATAAAAAAACTTCCTTTTTTCATTGTAAAGCAAAGATTTTGTCATGGAGAAAGAGCACTAAAAACTAATCCATAGCCAAACTATTATATAAGGTTATATAAGATTTAATATCTACTCCTTTCAAAATTTTAAGCTTCCTAATTTATTAGAATAATAAGATTTTGTAACACCAAATGATGTAACAAAATAAGCATACATTCTCAAATAGCCATGTACGTCAAGTACAAAAATTCATAAAGATGAACTACACATGAAATCAGCAAACACATCTCTTCAACATACAGTACGCCTTTAACAAATATGCCACAATTTAAAATTCTCTATTAACTGTTGGTAAGGTTAGTGTTATAGAGACTGACAGATTTTATGTTAAAATATTCTACATTATTTTTACTAAATGCCCGGCTGATCAGTCAACTTACTCGACTCGCCATCTTCTCCTTTACTGGCAGATCCTGTAAAGAACACACTCCCATCCTCAGCTACTAAAAGGGCATGTGAGCCATCATGTCCGACTGAGAAGTGTACTATTTTTGGCGATTTTGTAATTGGCAGCTCAACCCATTTTCCTGCTGAAGGACCACCTTGTTTGATTCCAAGACTCTGATACTTTCCAGTGTAATATATCTTATACAGTAAAAAAGAAAAAAGGAATTACAGTGGCTTTGGTATAGTGCACCATGTTTCACATGAGTCAAAAAAATCTTTCAAGAGTTTATTGAACAACAAAAATAACAAGAACCTAAAGTCTAAGGAAGCTTATGTTTCTACAGATTGATCTCTACAATATATGACTTATTGCAAAGGCTACTACTTTCCCTAGTGTACTTCTGTGTATTCAGTCAATGTATTTCTATTTATAGAAACTTGAAATGAATATTATTCATCAAAACAAGCACAAAATATCAATTCACTATAACTGCAAAAAGTACACACAAAATCCTTAATTAAATAGTTATAAAAATACAGTATTTTATAAAGTTTATACACTTTCAGGGTCTTAAATGTTATAACTGTTTCATGATACTATTTTTAACATACGATTTTTACTACACAGAAACAATGCTTAAATATGTAAACCATATAAATTAAATCAACAAATTATACCAATTCTCTCATAAAGAGAAAGTTAATATAAGAAGAGCATATACCTTTCCATTTGCTGTTTTCATTAGTGCAAATTCTCGTCCTGCACCAAGAATTGCTGACTCCTCATCGAATCCTGTACCTATAACACAAAGCAATAAATATAGTGCATTTCTAATATGAATAACTCCAAGCTCATGTATTCTTTTGAGTAATTTAAGCCAATTCAATTAACATTACTCAAAACCAAAAATGACAAAATATTTTGTGTGCCTGAGTTAAAAAAATAGGTATATTACTCTGAAGAAAAACATAAAAAAATCAAAATTTCTGTATCAGTAATATTCCTTGAATTAGGATAAAAATGTAAACTTTTATGCTGAACATCTATTAGGTACTAGGCACTGCAGAGTTATCTCATTTGATTCTCACTATATATTAACCAGATAATCAATGACTAAAAATAAAGCTAAGGGAGGTTTGCCTAGCTATAGTCATTTGGGCTTTAATGATGCACACAGATATTTCAATTACAGTATTTCAGATTATTTGTCCCATGTTTCCTTCTACAGAAGAACATTTTATATAGCTTCTTCACAAATTTGAATATTTACATGTATATACATACACAAATCCATATATTCATTTTTGAAATTGTGAAACTATGAGTAACTAATTATAAGTTCATATACGGTAGGTTTTATTACTTTGGCCTGTCAGACAAACTACTAAGTATCTTAGAGGTATCTAAGAGGCTTTTTAAATTGAAAAATCTATAATCTCGATTCAATATATTTTCCAACAGAAAACTACAAAATTACTATATAATTAAATTAAGATTATGCAAAGTAAAGCACTTAGAAAGTGACATGGCAAATAAAAACAGACCCTTGTAGGAACCAGTGACCCCAATTTCTTCCACAACACTGTAAGACTAGGTATCTTAAGTCCAAGAAATACTCTGTGGTTATCTGTATTTCTATACTCAGATGAAACACTACTGATCAGTTTGTTAAATCAATTACTATTTTTATAATCTATAGGGTCATTCTACAGATAACTTGAAAATCTGTTCAAATAAAAATGAAAGGTTTGGTAGAAAAATAGAATCTGGATCTGGAAGTCATCATGTTAAGTGAAATGAGCCAGGCTCAGAAAGAATAACATCGCATGTTCTCCTTAATATGTGAAACCTAAAGGAGATGACAAGAAAGTAGAAGGGAAATACTAGACAAGACACAAGGAAAAAGGGGAAGGATGAAGGGATGTGAAGGTAGGTAATAGAGGACATAAATATGATCAAAATATATTACATACAATTGAAACCCACCAAAGAACATGTAAAACCAGGGGAGGGTGAGAAAAGGAAGGTGGCTGGGAAGGTTGGCAATTAAAATATGCTATGTGCATGTACAAAAAAAAGTGTAAAGGGTTTCAATCAACACCAGCTGAACACATGCCAAAAACTAAAACTAGACCCATGTCTCTCAACATGCACTCAACTAAAATCAAAATGGATCAAAGATCTATATATTAAAACAGAAACACTAAGTATGCTGGAAGAGAGAATAGATAGAACTCTTGAAGATGTACGTATAGGCAAAGATTTCATGAGCAAAATATTACACAACATCACCAACTGGGATATCCTACTGAAAAGTTTTTACACAGCAAAATAAATCACCAACAGAATGAAAAGACAACCCACAGAGTGGGAAAAGTTTTAGCCAGTTGTCCTTCAAAGGACTAATATCTAGAACATATAAAGAATTCAAAAAATCAGAACCCCCAAACTCAAAGACCCAATCAAAAAATAGGCATCTGAAATGAACAGACACTTCTCAGATGAAGAAATAGGAACAGCAAATGAATATATGAAAAAATGTTCAACAACACTGGTTATTCGAGAAATGCAAATTAAAACAACACTGACATTCCATCTCACCCCAGAAAGCATGGCTATCATCAGGAAATCAACCAATAACAAAGGCTGTTGTGGCTGTGGAGGAAAAGGAACCCTTCTCCACTGCTGATGGAAGTGTAGACTGGTGCAAACACTGTGGAAATCAGCGTGGAGAGTCCTCACACACACACACACACACACACACACACACACATACACAAAATTGGCCTAGTGGTACCATTTGATCCAGCTATTCACTTTCTTGTTATCTTCCCTAAAGAATGAAAATCATCATATCACAGAGACATATACACACCCATGTTTCTAGCAGCACAGTTTGCAATAGCTAAATCCTGAAAACAACCTAAATGCCCATCACCAATGAATGGATAAAAAGATGCAGTATTTTAGATATTGGAGCTCAGTCATAAAGGACAAACTTGACACATTTGGAGGTAAATGGATGTACTTTGAGACCATACTTTTTTAAGTGAAATAAATCAGACACACACATATGTAACTATCACATAGTCTCTCTGGTGTGAGAAACTAAACGTGTAAATAAGGACCAAAATGTACAATAGATATTGTAAAATATGAAGAAACTGTTCAAAAGGAAGGGAATCTAGGGGTGGAGATGGGGGAAGGAAGGAAGGGAAGAGAAAAAGTGAGAAAAGGATAAAATGGAAATAAAGCTTTATAAATAAAAGGGAGGAGAGAGGAATGGGGAAAAAGAGAGGAACTAAGATATATCGTGTACAGGTACAAATTCCCCTTGATGAATGTGACCCTGACGTACATCTAAGTTGTACCAATAAATTTAAAACTAAATAAAAATAAAATATAAACTGAACTGTTAGTTTTTTAAAGAATTAAAGAATGTAAAAATGATTTATTTTGCCATCTTACTTATTATATGCAAGTCCTTTTCCAGATCAAATAGTGAGATGCCACAGGCATGCAAGCATTTTCGGGCCAGTTTAAGTTGTAATTCTTGTTGCAACACAGGTTCAGTACTTGTGGCAAATATTCTGACAACAAAACCATCCTAAAAGAAATAAGATATCCATAGTATTGTTGTTGTATAAGTTCATTTTTTGAGCTCTTTTATCTAATAAAAACCAAGTAAGACAAAAGGATTCTATTTGTGATTCACAATACTTACATCTTTTGAAGCAGCTATCTGATTAATATATTCTCCATCTGTGAATAAAATATTTTGACCTTCGGTGTGGCAATCTATGCAAAAGGAAGAAAAAGTAATTATATTACAATATAAATGAACAACTCTCAAAATGACTTTACTCCTCTGTTGAAGTCAGAATGAGAATTCTCCACGCAATAAGGGCAGACTTAAACTCAAAAGGACTGCTTTTTAACAAAAAATTAGAAATTAGCAGAAACTAAATAAATTGAACTAATACTTATCACATTTTGTGCCTACAAATCTTCCATAATCAAGGACCTGAAAGCCCACCTAATTTCAAAATGAATTAGTATTCGGTATAGTCTAACAGTAAACATGCACCACAATGAACAAACTATAATGTTGGTTACAATCATTTCAATGCAATCACATGCGATATAGGCAACATTTTACCTTCAGACATATATCATTAGTGTCACAGAGAAATACAGATAAGCCTAAAGCTTCTGTATTCTATGGTGTCCAACTACAGATATCCCTTGCTTTAAACACAGCTAAAATTCAAAACCTGCTGTAATTCCCCACTTGGAAATTCTTAGTATATTTAGGTTTTAGGACTTTTTCAACATTCATCCTTCACAGGACAAACCGATGCTTGTTTATTTCTTGTTGTCTCAAATGGTCAAATATCTTAGCTAAACTGTCATAAATTTGTCAATACTGCATTTATCTCTGAAATTAGTGTACTACATATTTTAATAAATATAATGCACAAGTTAAATTATAACAAGGGATACCAGTATTACAGAAGGACCACTGGAACATGTGTTAGTGATTGCTGCTAAATAACACAAATCTACAAGCAAAATCAACATCAAAGTATAAACTGTGTCCTTTTAGAAAAACAAATGTTTAGCAAGCAAATTTAAGAGCACACACACTTCCCAAAACAACTGCAGAGAACTAGGATGAATCTCTCCATTAATCACAATATCAAAAAAAATTTTTTTCATTTCTAGTTGACCTAAATGAAAAAACCATAAAATTCTGTTTTTTGGAATGCAGTAATGGAGCCCACCCAAATAAGCTGGATTACTCTGTATCTTTGCCCAGGAGCTTCATACTAGCATACTTCCTTATTATAAATATGCAAAACACAGGCAGACCCTTACCAAATAGAGAATTCAGTGATCACAAACTGGAAATAGAAACTGGGAGACAAGGCCCACTGGTAGCCCAAGAGACTTGGTAATCAAAGAGAGGAGAAATCGAAAGAAAGAGTTCCTAGTCCACTGTACAGAATACAAAGAGGCGCAAGAAAGATGCTTCTCAAGCTCTAAGCAGTAAGATTTTAAACTAAAAAGCAAAGAAGAAAAACTCATTATAATTTCAGATAAATGCAGAGGTGGGGAGTGAAGCGGCGCAAGAGTAGCAGCAAAAAGCCTCATAACATGAGGCAACCTGGCACCAGACATGGAGAGTAAATGACATAGGCTATATAAGGTCAGGCAAGATATAAAGAATAAAATGACAATAATCAGGGGAAAGTATGTTTTAACTTCATCCACATCAGGTTAAAATAATTTTTTTTATAAACTAGACTGTAAGACAAGTTGGAACATTAAGCTCAAAGAGTTACCTGATTTATATCAATTTTAAACATGACATTCATTATCACCTATAAATCTAGGAATTTACTTCTCTTCTTGATGGGAAAGATACAGAGCAGAGTTGTCCCTATGTAGGAAAAACTAAAGGTACTACTGAAGAAAATGTAGTCCCAGTCAAAGAAGTGAGAAAATAAAGTCTTCTTCAGGCTTGAGGGTTGAGTCTTCCTGGCGTGGCTTCAAGATTTTCTCTTTATCTTTTCTTTATTCATCATGTAATATTATAAGATAGTATCTTCAGGAAGATATCAAGCAACATCTGTAAGCTTGGAAAACATACTATATGGACTATCCTCCCAAATTTTGGTTCAGTCTTCACCATGAATACAGCACATATTTATGAAACACAGAAAGCCACACTTATATTGTTAAAAGTTGCATTTCATTCATTAAATATTGCTGAGGGATTTAAACTGAACAGAACATTAACAAGTCATTTTTTTTAATCACAGTTGAATAAATAAAATAGCTTTGTGTAATGATCTTCAAAGTGTTCTTTCAATTACAATCTCTCTAAGTGACCAAGGTAGAAATAAATTCTCTGTATTAGTAGCCATCCATTTGGAATTTGTGAATTTAGAGTTTTTCTTCTATGACATTATCCTAAAATGACTTGCACAAGGACAGAACAACTAAAGTGTAAGTTACATAGCAAAAACTTGGAAGGCTCCCATTCCAACATATTAATCAATGAACAAAACCCTGTAACATAAAAATGGAGTTATAAAATACTGTTTAATGGCCTAGAAATATACTCAGAATCTTAAGTAAAATGGGGAAGTTAAAAAAGCAATATGCAGTATATGACTATTTTTTACAAGTGTGTACAAATACTCATATGACTCTTATATAGCAAGTATTACTTTTATTATGTTTATATGGAACTTATGCATACTTTATTACTAAAATATTTTTAGTACTAAAACAAAGAATTTATGAAAAATGGAGGATGTTTAAAAATTTCCATAAAGATATCTGAAAATCATGCTATTTACAAAATGTTTTCTGTTTTTCAAAGCTTCTCTAGGAAACAGACATGAAGTGTTTCATTTTACTTTAACATGGAACCTGTATATTAATTTAGATACCTTCATAGCCTGCAAAGTTCAGATAATGTTTGATGAAGTTATAAGACTTTTAAAAACTAAGTGTGGGAGTAATTATCCTTCTTGGTGCTTTCTTTAAAAGTAGGTCTCACTTGCACATGATCAAGTACCTAGCAGTAATCAATGCTCTCTCCTTTCATGAATTTGACACATTAAACATTTAAGATTTTAATCCATACAACTTTAGAAAGTATCAAAGGTATAAGCAAATTCAAAACCTTGCAATGGATAGTATTTTATGCATTTCCCATGCTTCACAAAGTTTGAGATCTACTGCCTCAGAATTTACATAGTAGGGATTTGAGTGATGACTATATATGCAGAACTGAAAAGTAAGTTGTGTCCAAATTGCTTTATTAGAGCAGTATAAAAAAGTGTGAATGATAAAATCTTAAAAAAATTCCTGACCACCTTAAGCTCTCTGTCAGAAAAGCTCTTTAAGATAAAGAGTAAAACCCAACTGTACTGTTGTTAAAAGAAAATTAATCAGAAGGTTCTTATACTGAGCCAAATGAGGTTTCAAGGTTGTGGTTTTGTTAAGAGCAACAAAACCACACTAGTTCAGCAGCTGAAAAAATCTTGGTGGGATAAAGGTAAGGGATTAAGCCACACAGATGGGAAAAAATCTGAAAATACTAGATATCATACTATATTTCTGATGTCTAATGTTCTTATATGTATTAACTTGATATAGGCTATAAAAGGTTTATGTCAAGATTTTTAAACCCATTTGTAAGCAAGTACTATTCCTACATAATCACTCTTTATACATCTAAATAGCTAACATACACATTGCTAAAAACCACCTGGGAAGAAAAAAAATATAGCTGAAACATACCTGGTAAAATTACAGTACCATCTTGTTCCAGTGTTTCAGGGCTTATTCTTACGGCTGTCATGCTGTGGTTATTCACATCTCTATATAATAAATAACCCTGTTAACAAAAATTTTCCTGTGTTAAAATATATTTTCATTACCAAACTCAGCAGGAAAAGAAGCCATTTTGCTCCATATTACAGTTTTTGAGGCAGACTAATCAATATTGTTGTCTAAACGATATCAAAGTCTAAAAATATAAGAGGAAGAACTATATACTTCTGAGAATCAACTAAACATATTATATTCTCAGGTGGATATGTAAGGTCCATCAAACAGGAACCCAACAGTACATTTTATTGAAAATGACTATTATATCACTTCCCAAGTGGCTAATACAAATAATCATTATCTTTGTCAACTATTTTAAGGAAAAATATCGAAATACATACGCTGCTGCTTCAAAATGAACAGATTAGCGGTTTTAGGGGCAGTGATATGTCACTGAAGAAACTATTTGTAATGATATATTTTTCATGGCATATTTCTTAGATAGAACACAGCAGGTTGGCAAATAAAATTTTCATGAGATATTTTAAACCAGGTCAAGTTTTAAAAGATAATTACTGAGTAATTAATTTGATATTAAAAATTTAATTTCAAAGTATTTACAATAGCTGATATAGTAGATTATTCCTCAGATAACAACAACAAATTTCTTCCATTTTCAAAAACCTTTTCAAATATCTTTTATCCTCTGAGCTCAGCAAGGCAAGGTATTAAGGGAAATTGGTTATCCTTCCATAAGAGAACTCAGGCATTATCTCTAAGGAGATAGCAGGGAAGTAAATACTTCTGATCCCTTTTGTCCATCTTTTATTTACTCTTCTACATAGGAAAAGGAGTAAGAGTATCTGACTGCTGACCTAGTAAGAGGCTAACATGATGTGTCTATGTTAGGGGTAAGATCACAGCATTAAGAAAGCAAAATGGGCCTAGTACTCTTCTTTCTGTGGTGATTCCCTGCATGACCCTCATAGCTATCCATTGAGGAGGCCAAACACCTAAAAGTGCTGGATCTGTACTTAAAATGAAGGAGTTTGTTACAAGAAGCCCTAATTTGACCTCAAGTCAAATATATGTTTCCAATTCAGATCTGCTAATGACAATAAGTGGTCTTTGATTTCCACTCTGAGGCTCACTTTTTATAGCTACGTAACAGAGGCTCAAATAATTTAACTGAGTTACAAAAGTCACACAGTAAGAAGCAATTCCTCTCCTAAAACTGAACCTCTACATTATGCCACAAATACAGCCAAAACTATACTCTTTCTATTTAAATAGAACAAATATTATTTACTGACTTAACAAGCATGTCTTAAAAGATAAGGAAAGTTTGTTTTATTGAGGATATTCTCCTACCTGAGCATACCCTAACCAAGACTTTTTTTCTTTTCTGTTTCTGATGCGGGATGTAGAGTTATATATATGGCCCTGTAAAATATCAGAAGTTAATCTAGCAACAGTTTCATAATTGTCAATGAAAAACAATATAAATTAGTAATAACATTTAATGCCTATATTTCAATTATAATTTTTAAAGAAAAATTTTATACCAAAATTGGATAGTACATTTCACAATGAAGTTGAGAAATAGAACACAAATTCAGTCTAGTTATAAATCTATAATTAAGAACTATAAGCAATCACATTACCCTAACTGTTCCACTGTATCCAGAGCCTATTTTGTATAATCCATCCTTGCATAACAGATAAAGAAAATATCCATCATTCTGAAGTAGACACTGATCATCTTCATCAACAGAGACTTCTTTTAATGGCCATTTATGCATTAAAGCTGCTTTCTTAATACCATTGCTAAACCAGTCCTGAATTTGAATTTTTCCCACTAAAACTGCCTGTACACTTCTCTGCAGGGAATTCAGTATTGTTGGCACCTATTCAAAAGAGAGGAAAAAAAATGAAAAGACATTTTTTAATATTCCAAAGACAAAACAGACTAAATAAAGATTTTTTTTACAATAATACATCATTTCAAAGAAAACAAATTGTTTAGAAAGATGTTTGGCATATTAGAAAAAAAATGTCAACTAAAAATTCATTTATAAGAAGCAAATCTCAAGTAAACATGCTTAATTTGAGGATTCCATGTCATTTACCAGTTCTATACATCTTGAGCAATATTTTAAGTTCTCCACCTTACAAATATATCACTTCTAGTACTCAGACTATATTTACAGTAAATATCAGTCTTTTTCATCCTATACTTGTGTTTTGTATTTTACCTTTCATATTTTCCCTCTTCATCTGTTATATTTGGATAACTTTCTCATTTTCTATCTTTCAGTTCACTATTTCTATCTTAACTAAATTACTAACTAAACTGTCCTTTAATTTTATAATTGTAGTTACGTGATTTTTATCATTCCAGAAGTTCAATTTTGTTCTTTTTCTAATCTTATTACTCTTTATATTCTCATTCTTAGATATCTTTTATTACTTTAGTTGTATTAAAATATATATCAAACAATTTGAAGTACCTAAAGATTTGCCAGGCTTGATTCTACTGTATCTGTTTCTACTAACTCTCAACGATGGTACCTTTTTTCCATATGCTTTTTTATTCATTATTTACTGAGCTCAAATGCAACAGTATTTTCTATGTAGGGTCTTTGATGCCTAGAGTATATCCCTCAAAAAAAGATTTTAGCCTCCTGCAATAAATAACACTCCACAGTGCTACCATTCTCCCCTACTTTAAACTTTCTGCTAAGTTTTTGAAGAAGACAAGTAATGTGTATTCAAGTGCCCCCAAAATTTGGAATGTTATTAATTACATACTGTTTGGGAAAACTTTTCTTAACCCACAATCAGCATAAGAGAGCACTGTGAAGTGAAGCTGGTAGAGAGGGATCAAACACTGATAAGATAATGGCTTCAGTATGGTGTCTTGGGTGGAACTGGAGGTACAGTGATACAGCAGAATTGCAGAGCACCTGAGCTCATGATTCAGGGGATTTAATAGTTTTGTATAAAGGTTACACACAATACTACAGTCAGACAGATATGCATTCAAATATCTGTTTTTGCTAGTTCTCTGGGTTGTAACTAAACTCTTAAGCCTTCAAATATTCCTCATTTCTCTCACCTCTACATTTTGGCAAGACAAAAGAAATATTTTCTCTTCACACTGACACCTTCTCAAGAGTGGCTGATTTTAACTTATCATTTCAATCTCACCTCATATCCTCTGGGAGGCTACCCATGAACTTAGTTTATGCATTCCTGCTATGAGTTCTATTATCATTGCTAAGTCTGTAAGAATTAAGTCACATGGAAGCCTAATAAGCTCATATATATGTGGTCACTATCCTATTACCTGAATGTTTATTATTTTATTATAATTTAAGGATTATTTGTATATTTTAAACATAAATTAAATATCTGTAGAAATCTCAAAGCATGTCTATAGAATACAGCTTGAAAATCACTACATTCGAAGAATTTAAAAATAATTAAGCCCCATAAAAAGGGACAAAAGGATTCCAAGCAGAGCAGAAAGAGGAAAAAGAGTAAGAGTAAAAAGCTGGAGTAAGGGGACGATTATGTTTGACAAGAAGAGTTCAAAATTGAATAGGTCACAGAAAATGACCAATATACTCCTTTTGCTGTTTTTGGTCTGCTAATAATTAAATAAACCCTTCCATCTGTTCTTTAACCAGGTTGTGCAAGGAGCCAGAGAAGAGGAGATTACTGGGCCTTAAAACTATACCTTCTTTTTCAATTTCAAGCCCAGTCCAAAGAGTTAAATCATATGAGTGTGGTGGGGCACGCTTGTAATCCTACACCTGGGAGGCTGAGGCAGGAGGACCACTATGAGTCCAAAGCCAGCCTCAGCTACACAGTGAGTCCAAGACCAACCTGAATTGCACAGTGACACCTTATCTCAAAATAAACAAACCAACAAAAAATTAAATCAAGTTTATCTACAGGGACAGTCACAGCTCCTACTGCTAACAAAAATAGTTTATTCCTCAGTCAGATATTATAAACTTAAAATGTAAGACAGATAGCAAAAGTAACTCAAAACCAAATCAACTCATCAAAACTCACAATCAACAAATCAAAAGTAGAGCAGATGGAAGGCATATCCTTTTCTATCAACAGGAAAGATATTCACAATTATGAAAAAATTCCACACTTGAAAATTCAGGACAAGATGGGAGATACAGGAAAGGCACAGAACAAGCTAATGTAAAGAAAGAAAAGGCTGTAATGTTAAAACAAAAATCAGGCTAAAGATTAAGGTTTTGCTAAAATTCACTTTATTATCTTTATTGCTACAGAGTTAAATACTTGTAGTTTAACTGGTACCCATACTATAAATCATTTATATGTCAACCTTGTACAGATCAAATGACTACATAACAAATGGGAAAAAGGTGAAAAATCCTACTAACCACTTAGTCTAATTATTTAAATACAGGATGACCAAAACTTGCATAATTTTTTGTTCATTTTTATAGGATAATAACAGAAAATATAAAAATGTCAATTTTATTAAATTTATTCAATATAAGAATTGACTGGTTGAAATTACAACTGCCCCAGAAACACTTGGTATAGTCAGTATGTAAACAAATGCGCTGTTCAGTGACACTCAGGGTAAACTATTAAATGGTCAACGGAAGTTGAGATAAAAGTGTAGCTTGGAGCTAGTGCAGAGGCACATGCCTGTAATCCCAGCACTCAGGAGGCTGAGGCAGGAGTGCTGTGAGTTGGAGGCCACCCTGGGCTAAATAGTGAGTTCAAGGCCAGCCTGAACTACACAGTGAAATACTGTCTCAAACAACAAAACAAAATTGCAGTTTAGTACTGGGCATGGTGGTGCACATTGTAATCCCAGCACTCTAAAAGGCTAAGGTCACAAGTTCAAACCCAGATTGGCCAACTTAGTGATTAGCAAGACCCTGTCTGAAGATAAAAAAAAAGAAAAATGCTTGGCATATAGCTCAGTGAGAAGGCCCTGAATTCAGTCCCTAGCATAAAGCAAGACACCCTGCAGTTTGGTATCTTACAAACTTCTAAGTATATTTAAATATGAAATACCTGAATAGTTTGGCAAGCATGGCTACCATTGTTGGTGAGGATAGCAGAGATGGCCTGAAGTGTCCTTCCTGTTTCTCCCCAAGAAGCCACTAGACTAAAGAGGCAAGCACAGGAAAGTGCTGTCAGGGATTGTCCAGTGCTGTCATTCATTCCAGTACTCCGAACAGTGATTTCCAAAAGGAGCTGGAAGAGAGACTCTGTGGATAAAACAGGATTTAATTATACTCATTTGATACATAGAACATACCCAAAAATTTATATCCCTGTTGTTTTAGGACTCAAATAGACTGAACTCAAATTGTGACAGTTCCCAACAGACTATATTACAGGTGGTTGTGTTTGCTTTATGAGAGAAACAATTCATTCTTAAAGGCATCACTCCATGAACTAGTTCTTACCTAGGACCTCGGGTGGCTCTGACTGGAGGCCTTCTGGCTGCTGACCCTGAAGCACATTCAGCAGGGCTTGGAGACTCCTCAGACACAGAGATGGATGTGAAAAACGTGTCTCCTTGATCAATTCAAACACTTCACAAAGTCCAACTTCAATAATCTATTTAAGATTTTTTAAAAAGTATATTTCATAACATGTAAGCCAGTAACACTTTCCAAAGACTCTAGCTGGTACAACTTAAGTACACATCAAACTTCATTACAACATTTAAAAGGCAAAGGAAAAAATATACACATAAACATCTTAAAAAATGTGTTTAACGTGAAGATTTTCAAAAGCCATCTGTTACATGGAAGGCTCAAAACTAAAGGCATTATTTAAAAGGCAGTTTTAGGATAATGAACCTAAAATAAGACATGAAAATAGTTTACAACAGTGAACTTCCGTAAACTGTAGTCATTCAGAAGAAATAAACTGTATTAATTTACAAAGTTCATTTCGTTGTACTCAAGTAAAACAGCATGATAACTGCTAATCATAATCATGAACACAACAGAACATATAGCAAAAATAAGTAAATAAATATAAAACTAACTTTAAAAGGAACTTTAATCTTAGTCCTTCCTAAAATAACTCACATTATTATTTACACATGTCCCTTTTTCTTATAAAATGATTATGAAAAGAAATAAAAACTGCTCAGCCAAAAATATCAGTTGCAGTTTTACTTTATTCTTCACTGAAACCAAGAATTTGACTAAATTTAGCTAAAAAGATGAATCTGTAGTTAAAGATTATGAGAGAAAATTGTAATGAACTGGTATAAGAATGTATCTTCAGAAGACTTATAAAACAATAAAGAATGAAGTTCCACATCTCAGTGTCAACATATTAAAAAACCAGATTTTTTTAAACCTCTTGCTAGGAAATATTAAATTAGTTGCAGAATTAAGTTTTAAAAAATTAAAATAAGACTAGGGTTGAGGATATATCTCAGTTGCTGAGATTTTTTACATTAATTCACACATTAAATAAATATCTCCTGAAGGACTTATTTTGTTCAACTCACTATGAAAGACAACAAGATATAACTAGACCTTGTTCTCTAAAAGTTTATAATCTAATAGGGAAATGAATGAGGATGCAGCCTAAACTCTGCTATAGCATTTATTACATTGTAAGGTAAAAGACTATTTTTGGTTCCATTTTCAATGAACCTGGGTTCCCTTGAAGACAAAGAACATCTCTCATGCCTAGTTCAGTGTGTGGGACATGGTGGGGATACAATACATATTGCTTTAGTTACACATTCATTTACGTGCTTAAAAAAAAAAACAAATTTAGAACTACCATATTTTCCAAACAAGGAAAATAAAGGGTGAAATGAGTTGCAGGAAAATCAACTATAATTCTAAATATCACCTGTAAGAGTCCTAAAGAATATAAATACAACTGAGAAATCAAAATAACTAGTAGGATTGTTTTTTAGCAAAGTCATCTAAAATCCTAACAGGCTTGACAACAGCTAAGATTTTACAAGCTCTATTGATAAAATTTTTCACTTGATATATCAGCTTCTTTTCCTGGAACGGACTAGAAAATTAAAACATGCTAAGATATACATCTGCTTATGCAGCTTACAGAAAACAGAAACTAAAGTACAAAATGTGGAGTTCTATTCTCAAGCCAATGGGAAACTACTACATTCTGTCATTCTTTAAGACTGTTTAGTATTAACAATGACGTTTTATAATGCTAAGAAGATTTTCCACAGATGACATTTTTGGCTAGGGTTCATTCATATAAATGTTTCCTATAGTAATAAAGAAATTATTGAACCGTGCCAGAAACAGTAAGACTACTTCATGAACAGGTTCTTGATTTATCTCCCTGGTAAATTTAAAGCTTAATAACAAATAGGCAACTCAGGCAGGTTGCCATGGCACAGAGTGCTACTCAGACCTATCTATTAGGCTTGATCACAAGGATTATGACAGAGACTTCCCCATCTGTTAAACTCTTGTAATTGCGGTTCTGTTTAGAAAATCTTTACTTGTGCCCATGTCTTCAAAAGTTTTACTATTTTACCTTCCAACAAACTGTTTCTGTTTTAGTACTTAAGTCTTTGGTTCATTTTGATTTTATTCAGGTACAAGATGACAGACAATCTTCTGCATGTGTGTAACCAGTTGTCCCAATACCATTTGGGTTTTTTTTTGTTTTTTGTTTTTGCCTTTTTGAGACAGGGTCTCACTATGCAGTTCCGGCTGGCCTTCACTTCACTTTGTAGCCCAGGTTGACCTCAGACTCACAATGATCCTCCTGCCTCAGCCTCTAGAGTGTGGGGATTACAGGTGAGTGCCATCACACCCAGCGCCAATACCATTTGTTAAAGAGACTGTCTTTCCTCCAGCATGTGTTTTTGTTAAAGATCATATGACTGAATTGGCTGGGGTTGCTTCTGCATTTTATTCTATTCCAGTAATCCACACATCTGTTTTTGTGCAAGTACCATGCTGTTTTTATCACTGTAGCTTTGAAATAAAACTTGAAATCTGGGATTGTGATGCCTCCTGATTTCATCTGATAGATCAGAACTGCTTTTGCTATTCTGGGTCTCTTATGCTTCCATACAAATTTTAGGATTGTTTTCTTAGTTCTATGAGGAAGGCTGTTCCATATGAATTTTACGATTAGTTTTAGCAGTTATTTGAGGAATGCTGTTGAGATTTTATATCTATATATCTATATATCTATATATCTATATATAGATATATAGATATATAGATATATAGATATATATAATGGACTGCATTAAATCTATATATCTGTTTTGGGACTATAGTCATTTTCATGGTATTACATCTATCTATCCAGGAACAGGGAGCATTATTTCATTTTCTGATGTCCTCTTTAATCTCCTTTCTTAGAGAACTGGAATATTCATTTTAAAGGACTTTCACTTCCTTGTTTAGGTTAATTCCTAAGGATTTTTTTTTGAGGCTATTGTGAATGATATTGTTTTCCTAATTTCTTTTCCTGTGGGTTCACATAGTATTTTAATTTTGAGTGTTTGAACCCAAGTAATTCAGCTCCAAAACCCATATTCTTAACCACATGCCCTATTTCTAGATAGTTCAATTCACAACAGAAAACTGAGTATTAGTGGCCTGGGTTTTAATTTTCTTTGGAAGATCCAGTTTTACTCTACTAATAATGCTGGAAAACGTTAAGAATGTCTTACACTTTATTTCTTTAATACTCATTTATCCTGATGGCTTAAAAAAGTCTACGAATTAGTTATCACTGATCATACAATATCTTTTAATGTGTATCACAGTGTATTGTTCAACATCTGCATATCTGTGCAGATTACTTTGGGTTTTTGTTTTTCTTCCCAAAGGTAAACTTAAGCAAACATAGTTAACACACTTAACATAGTTCAGTATGATTCACACACATAAAGACTGGTACTCTTAGCAAAACACATATACAAGTTCTGCAGTCTAACATCCTAACTGTATCTTTTTCTTCCCAAACTCTCCTAATTAAGCATAAGGAACTACAATTAGAGACTATCTGGAGGGGTTTATAAGGGAAAAGATAAAGAAGTTTGATTTAGACTAAAGGCAGAGCCTGGTAAAACAAATGCAGCTGAAACCCTTAAGAGAGAAGGGAAGTGAGATCCTGATCTGAGGCAGGAGATAAGAAACTAAAGAAGTTCACAAAACTTTTATTACTCTGAGAAACAGAAGGCAGGTCATCTTCTGAAAATAAGGTGAGAAAAACCTGACAATACGATTAAAGACAGTGGCACATATGTGAACAGCTCTTATAAAATGTGTGAGAAAAATCAGATTGGGAACATGGGTTCCATCTCTGCTGCTATTTCCATGTAATACATATATGTTTTCAAGACATAGTTTTAAGGTATTTGTTTCATAAGAAGACAATATATGAATCATTTAGAATAGAGGAAGCATTTTAAAGTATCTACATTTAGAAAAAAGCAATATGCATGATTCGCCTATAGGTACCACTTTAAACTATGTTTATATTTTCACCTATTTATCTGTTAGAAATATTTACCACACTTACTACATTGAAAAAACATATACGAAGACTTAAACAGAACAGAGTACCTTAAGAAGAGCTTGTTCTACTATAAGACATATTTCTATAACAATCAGCTTATACACTTCTGGTGATAAGGAATGATATCCAAATGGTAAGCACTGGACGGGTCCACTTTCGATTTTCTTCTTAGGCAAAGGAAGCCAGAAAACTGGCTTCATAAGCCTGGTTTATTTTTAATGAACACTTTAAAAAAATGTATGTTATTTCAGAAGCACATATGTACTATATGCACTATAGCACTATAGCCAAACTAATCCTAGGTTATGCATCTAAATAAGATTTAGTGGCTTACCTTTGGAAGTTTGATTGGGGGCTCTTTGGATTCCTCTTCTTCATCACTATCTGATTCTCCACTCTGCACAGAATTCTTAGATGCAGCTGCCAGTGATGTTTCCTTTTTCTGCCATTCCAGAACGCAATGGCGTACATTACAGTAAATATTGAAAGCGGAAGGATTGCTATGTAGTTTGATATCTGGTATAATTACGGTATTCTCCAAGCTTTCAGACTAAAATGTAAGACAAAATATTTCAATTTTACATTCTTTTCTGTCATTTTTAAAATAAAAAAATAAAGAACTGACATCACATACAAGGAGTCTAAGTGTGTTGATATCTTTCTATTACCCACACTATTTTTAAGTAACACAGCATTACCAACCCGACAAGGGCTGAAAAGGGTGAGGTAAAGAATTTAACAAAAATACTATGCCCATAATAGGGACAGAGTCAACAAAGCTCAGCTGCCGAAGGATGGTTTTTTAGAGAATTAATTTAACACTTTCTTAGGGGACACTAGACATGTTGTAAAGTTTCATAACTGTTATGGCTTATACCTAGACGTCTTCTCAAAGCCTCATGTGATTGTAAAGCGGGGCACTGGAAGGTGATTGGATTATAGTTTATAGCTGACTGTGCTGTGAGGAGGTGGGGCCTGATCAGAAGAGGCAGGTCACTGGGAATATGACGTGGAAGGGCACATTTCCTTCCCTCCTCTCTTCATCTTCTGTTTCCTGGATGCTATAATATGAGCAACTGTCCTCTACCAAGACCCTTGCACAATGCCTTCCTGCCTTGAAGCCTGTGTCTATGAGCTAAAAACATGAGCCAAAATAAACCTCTCCTCCTTTAAGTTGTGGGTGTCAGCTCTTATGCCCAAGTAGTAAGAAAATGACTAAGATAATAACCTACGAATGCTGAAGTATATTTTCAATTATTTTGAAAGTAGATGTACAGATTTATACGGAAATTCAGACTAGAAAAAAAACCAGAATTTCCATTATCTCACCTTAATTTCATTCTCTTCAAGCAACAGTTATGCCAAGAGAACTGCAAGTATGCACATAGGCTTTCCTAAGCTCCCCTTTGGCAGTAAGTCTGAATAAAGGCTAAAAATTAGATCTTTGTTAATTTGTTAAAATTAATGTTTCTTTTGTGCCCAACAATTCACTCATAAGATAACGACTACTATAAATGTAAAGCACCATTATAAGGTATGTATAAATCTTGACAAATTCAAGTTCTAACAATTAGATAAGAACCTAAGGTAAATGATATGTCAAGTACCAAAAACACTTAGTTTCAAAATTCCATCCTTCTCCCACAAAGAGTTGATGGTGGGAGGGAAGAACTCATTCAAAATCTCTTAATTGTCATATCTGTCAGAGATATTAAAAACAAGCAAATATTAGCAATCCAAATCTAACAACATATAGAAGTGATATATCATGACCAACTGGTACTTAACCCAGGAACAATGCTGACACAACACTGTAAAAGCATCAGTATATTTCCCCATTCAAACAAAAATAATAGATTAAAAATTATAAAGTACTATAAATAAATACAAAAAAGCATTTGACAAAAATATAATGCTAATTCATGATAAAAGAATCTAAGCAAATTCAGAGAGGTATTTCCTCAACTTGATAAGGTTATTTATTTATGAAATACCCACACCAAACATGACAACAGACTTAATGTCTCTCTCCTAAGATTGCAAACAAGGCAAATATATCTACTTCCATTAACTCAATTCTGCATTGCATTAGATACCCTATCAAATACAATATGTCAAGAAAAACAAGAGGGAAAACTGGCATCTAAAAGAAAATAACCTCTAAAAAAGAAATGTGTTTATATTTCTAAGGATTAGACAGTCTTAAGGAATTTATAACAAAAACCTACTAGAAATAAAATAGGCTCATTTAGCAAAGTTATAGACATTAAGATCTGTATACTAAAAGTAAGTAGTATATCCATTTACTAGGAGTGAACAACTGGAAAGATTCACGTAAAAAATAATAGCATTAAAATCACAGAAAGTGACTTAATACTTACAAGTCACACATCTAACAAAAGACCAGTATCCAGAATGTGTAAAAATTTTCAAAACTGAACAGTTAAAACAGACTCTAAATAAAGAGGCCAAAAGACATCCTAAAGGAGACAGAGCAGGCAAAAAAGCACATGAAAAGAAATTTATAATTATTAACCATTAGAAAAATGCAAGTTAAAATGAGATATATTAACACAACTGTCAGAATGGAAAACAAAAGAGAACAACAACAACAAAAACAAAAACAAAAAGCCAATGACAACCACAAATCCTGGCCAAAATGCAGAGAAACTGGATCATGAATACATTGCAATATGAAAAAAAGTATGGCAATTTCTTATAAAGCTAAACATATGCCTACAATATAATCCAATAATTGAACACTTGGACATGTATACCAGAGAAATAAAAACTTATGTCCACAAAAAAAGCCATATATGAATGTTCATTATAATCTTATTCAAAAAAGCCAAAAACTATAAACAGTCCAGAATGGGTGAAAAGTTAAACAAACTGTGATATATTCAGACTGTAAAATGCTAACTCAGCATTACAAAGGAATCAATTATTGATATATACAACAAACTGAATTATACTATAAGAATTACACCAACTTTTAAAAAGCCAATCCCAAGAGATTATACATAGCATATTTCTATTCAGTTAGCATTCTTGAAATTATAAAATTACAGAGATGGAAAACAGACTTAGGAATTGTGTAAGGCTAAGGGAGAATGGAAGGACATAGCTATGGATATAAAGAATCCTTGTGATAAAGATGTAGCAAAGAGGATCTTTGTGATGGAACTACTCTATATATCTTGACTATACTAATGGCCATGTATATAATAAAATCAGAACGAAGAGCACACAAACACACATACAAATGATACACAAAAATCTGATGAAGTTTAAATAAGACAGTAAATTGTACCAATGTTGACTTCCTGGTTATGATACTGCACATTATGAATATTCAAGATGTTATCATTAATGGTGAAAGGTATACAGGATATCTGTGAAGTACTTTGTACAATTTCAGGAGCACTATAATCATCTCAAAATAATTTTTAAAAACTATAGTAATACTATAAAAATGTAAAATAATTATAAATAAATTTAATACACTATTTTGCAAGCCTTACACACTGGCAACTTAAAAAAACTGGCTGTAAAGAAGACCAGCTAAATGAACAGATATACCATTTCATGGACTGGAAGAGTCAGTACCATTAAAATGACAATTCTCTCCATATTTTTTTCAGTGTAATCCCAATAGAAGTAGAGATTTTTCTAAATAAAAATTGACAAGGTGATCTTATGATTTATATAGAAAAGTAAAGTACCTAAAGTAGCTGTTTAGTCTGCCTCCATTGTTATATACGTACCTGACATAGCTTATCAACACAAAAGGTTTACTTCTGGCCCACAGTTTGGGAGGTTCCGGTCCATGATTAATTGGCCCATGCTTTTGGACCTGTGGTGAGGTAGTCATCATGACAGGATCATGTGGCACAATAAAAGTTCTCACCTCACTATCAGGAAGCAAGTCCTTCAATCCCCTTTAAGGGCATATTCCCTATGACCTAAGAACTTCCCATGATAAACCTACCTATCAATGATTCTACCACCTCCTAAGAGCACCACCCGGAGGACCAACTCTTTAATACATAAGTTTTGGGGGAACATTTAACACTTACATTATAGAAGTAGCTAAAGCAATTTTAGCAAAACAGACCCAAGTTAGAAGACATGCTACCTTATTTCAACTATTACTATATAAAGCAAATAGTATGATATTGGTATAAAGACAGACACATAGATCAACTAAACAGAAGAGTTCAGAAAAAGACAAATATGGCCAAATAATTATTCACAAAGATGCTAAGTTAATTCAATGGAAAAAAACAAAGGTTTTAAAATAAAGTATGCCCATGCGGCGGCGAGCGCTATTGCGCGCCGGCCCTTAGGCCGGCCGCCGCC